TTTTCTGTTTTCAACAACGAAAAGATGACAATATGTAGTCACGCAAACAAACTAAACTGATATATGATAAAAATGATTTTTTTTTTTCAAAATATAAATAAAGAACCGACAAAACATGAGAAATAAGTTTTCATCAACTTTGATTGTGTATAGTAATGGTGAAAAATGATTTAAACCGACGTTAACTACATGAGTTCGTAGTATCTAAGTTCAATTTTTTGATGAAATTGTTCATGATGTTAGACAGGTATGCATTTGTTCATCGTTGCATCATCGCCCCAATGTAAAATCAGGCCTGATTCACAGACTTTGATTCACCTGACTAAAGACTATTTATGAATAAGTAATCCGTAATTGTTTAAATTTAATATAAGCTTATTTTGCATTGGTTTCAGTCAGAAAAGAATAACTAAAAAACCAACAGTTTGTATTATCAACTTTGCACAAGGAGTCGAGGTTCAGCTTAAGGTTGTTTTGGAATCAAGCAAGTTAATGACACTTATGAAATCACACTCAGCTTTCATTTGTCAGTCAGTTATGGTAGTGAAATATGGTAACTTCTGAGTGTTGAAAAATTATGAATACACATGAGTTAATTAGTTCTTTTCTTGAGATTTCAGACATTAGTTAAATAGTAAAGCAAACAGCATAGTGATCGTATTTATGTACCTTTTATTAATAGATATTCAGGATGTGTAGCTACTTCTGTTATTATTACTGGATGACATTTAATTAGTTTCAAGTTTTTTTTATGGCACAAATTACCGATAGCCGAGAAAAATGTTTTTTTTTAAAAAAATGTAAATTATGAAGGAAACTTTCGAAAAAAAACAAGTATATTTAACAGACTATTATAAATTTTTGTCATATATATATAAACAGAAATTCGAAATTCCTTTGTTAACTGTCTGAATAACTTATTTTACAAATATCTCAATGAGCCAGTAGATTTTGCTAAAATCATCAATGTAAGATGCAGATGGATTAAGGATTTGTATGACAATCAAATTTGTAAATGACTAAATCAGATTTTGTTAGGATGTGATAAGAGAAAACAGACGTTCTGATTCAGTGTAATGTTCATGCAGTAAATAATTTCATTGATTTTTTCATTTGAGTAATAACCGTTTAATATAACATACGTTTTATTTCATTGGGATATTTGTTCAGTATGGCATGCAGTATTCATCTTTACTGATTCTATGTTCAATACCTTTTTGTACGTCTACTGATCATTAGTAAGAATGAGACTCGCCGATCAGTTTGAGTGTTTCGATGGAATTTGTAAAAAAAACATTGAGTGTATTCACTAAATAAACTACAGTGTTTTGTTTATCTTGCTCATCCTACTATATCAATTTCAAATTCCTCTGCACTGTGTAACAGTGTTCACAGTCTTAAAAAAGTATCAATTAAATTAGTCTAAATATCACGGAAGATTAGTTTCATCTTCCTTCATTTAGTAACCCATATATGACGTCATTCATTAAAAATTCAGTCGAACAAGTGGAAATTTCCAGAACGGCTGTTACATTAAAATGAATGAATTTGGAAGAAGCTTCAGCTTTTTTTTAGGTACAGTTAAAATTAATGTGAAATTAATGTCTAACGTTGCACAAGTGTATAATTTCAAACAAAATTTTCTAGACAAATGTCTATAAATTCGATTTTTATTGGGTTTTTTTTTCCTTTGGTATAAATCTCTATGTGTTTCTATTTATCATCAACCTGCGCCTATGAAGAGTAATCGAAATAACAACGTCATAATATAATTATAATCTCTCCCTTGGGCAGTATACATTTTCAACAGCCATTCACATAAATTGACAATGAAATAAAATCGTAAATGGCTGATGCAGGAATTTCTTTCTTTTTATTCGCGTATTCAGGGTACACTTTCTTATATTCGAAAACTATGACTATCATTACTGAATTTATGTGTAATTAAAACAAAACAAAACAAAATAAAAATTGAAACATTCAACCGACTAAAGTAAAACAGACTAATAAAACATGTCGACTGTTACTTTCTAGAAATATGATCGTTATTGTCTGGATTTGGAAGATATGCATACAGTATTTACTTGTGTATGTTTTTACAATGAAAAAATATGCTGACTCATCGACTCTTGAATTGCCATCGGCCCCCTTCCCACTCTCCTTATCCCTTATATTCACAATAAACAAAAATACAAGTTTCCAATTGCTTTAGTTAATCTGCTTTCCGAAAATTTTAGTTCATTTTCAAGGATTATTTTGAAATGGAAAAAAAAATATTAACCGATGAAATTTTATTATCTTGATTTATTTTTCAAGAAGATTTTCTTCCATTTTTTTTTGTGTATATTATTAGTCATTGAACATAATACACTTAAGTGGGAAATAAACTTAATTTCCAGTGTGGTCTATGTGAAATACTACTCATTGTTTTGATATCATCTATCCACTTATCCGTAGATATTCATCTGCTCAATAAGACACTGTGTATTATTTTCTCTTTCTATCCATTTAATACTAAATACTCTAAAAGTGTAGAGATTGGATAATGACGATATAAATGTTGTTAAAGTAGTTGAACGAAATAAACCATAGAATTCAACAAATTTTTTTCTGAACATTTTATTTCGTAAATTAAATAATACTTTGAGTAAGTTATATATTAACGAAAATAGGATCTAGTGAAAAAAAAATATAATTTTTTGACAATTGTTGATTAAATTATCTGGCCAAAGTTGCTAGTTTAAAAAGTGATATATATATATTTATATATATATATATACTTGATAATTGAATCAAATAAAGTATGATGAATAATTCGTTTTTAGCTGACTATAAATAAAATGTTCAAATCGAAGTATGTTAAAGTGATTTTCTGTTTGTTTGTTTGTTTTTAATCGTATTAATAGACATAAGTGATAATTTAAGTGGTTCTGAGTAAATTTATGAAATTTCTTGATGATTATCGTCAGTGATCGCGTTTAAGAAGTAGTAACCTGTTTTTATTTTACAGTTTGTCAACAAGCTTTTATGAATAACTGATGCGTTAATGTTAATTCTACTATTCTATACCAGAAATCAACACAATGTGAAAGATACTTGGATTACTGTTTGTCTCATGCTCATTGTACCAAGGTTGTAGTGGTGAAAAAGTTGATTAACAGGAATTATAATCTCATTACATAGAAGGAAGATTAACAAACTGAACTGAATTTGAAACTATCGACACTTATGGTCAACAATTATCCTAAACAGATTTTGAAGAAGATTTTCAAAAGTGAAAACTAAATTAGAATATGTACAGAGAGAATGCAAGAACACTGGTATTATCCCACACTGTGAACAAACATCAGAAGAAATCAAGAGGATTCTAAGCAAACATAATATAAGAGTTTATTTCCGTAGCATTGACACCATAAGATCGGCGTTAATCTAAGTTAAAGATATTTTTCTAAAGTCAAAACAAGAGAACGTTGTCTATGAGATCAGTTGTCAGGACTGAAATACATTCAACTAACCACCTCATGGCAGTTAACCATTCACAAGTTGTTGGACCTCATCTTGATTCACCTCGTTTAATTTACATGTGACGTTGATCTAACGGTACTTAATTTTAATATTTTCTTTATCACGACTATGTAAGTGATAATTCTCAATTTACTCACAAACTAGACTTTTAAAAAAACATGTACAATTATGCTTCCATGTTTACGTTTAATAGACAAATGATTGACAATCATTCACCGTTTACCAACTATTAACAACATAAATTTTCACATACACATGCACACAGACATTTATTTATCATACTGTGAACTTTTCCCATGTTTCACATATCACTAATGTTATCCTACTTACTAAAATCAAAATGTGAATATGATTGGATCAACGTGAACTTTATTTGATGTTAAATGTTTTATGTTCTTTAATGATTCAGATTGTGAATACCGTGCAGAAATCCAAACAAGGTAGCTGAATGAAACGTTGGAATTCTTTAAAACTAAAGTCGCTGAGATTATTTCAAATATAATTTTCACAAATATCGTCTCTTCCATATACTCGGTGCCCATTTTTTCAAACTGATCATTCCAATGTTGATGAATACTCTTATAAAACCTGATGATTTTATGTTGCAGTTCAAGAAATTACTGTTAAACTATCCTAGTCATGACTCGAATACTTTGATAATGAGATATTAGGATCAATCAATCAACTGTTCTATTTTATAGTCCTCCTTATCGCATTCTACTGACCGAGTTTTCTTCATGATAATTCTGTTAACTAATCAGTTACTGTATTAAAGTTTCCTTTCAATCAACAACCGTTAAGTCACTTCATAAACTTAAGTCCCAAACCTACTGAGTTTAATTATACCTTTTTAGATTTGTGGCTTAATTTACTCATCCCTTCATACAATTAGTTACAATACAAACTTTAATGTTCATAAATTAAATAGAAACAAATACCTTATCAGTGATTAATTAAATGTATATTTGATTTAGCTATTTATTATTAGAAGTTTCAGAACTTCATATATGAGACACTATCTAGTTGAACGATCTCTATGTAAATTTTAGTATCATTCACAGCGGCCACCTGTGGCATACCACGTGATAAGATTGTACTAACATTTATGACTTGATGTAACAGCAACTTGAGATTATTTGTTAGTTTTATAGAAAACAGGTTTAGATACTTTTCAAAATACGAAATCACCTAAAGCATACTGCCATACATCGGCTTATTTATCGTTTCTCCATCTTTTAGCATTTAGATATTTGCAAATGAGTATTGCTCAACAATTAATACAATAAATTTACAAGATTAGATTCAATGTGATAATACTATCAGGCTGCTCAAACTGAATTACATAAATTAAAACTTAACTCTTGAACTGTCTGGTTAAATTTTAAGAAGTTCTACTGGTAATTTCAAGAAAAAAATCTTTTGTCTGCTTAAAACACCCCAGAATGAAAAAAAATCAATACACAAGTTTAACTTACCTATTCGAAGGTACTACTTCATCACCAATTAATCTAGTGTTGGGCGCTATTCCAGCTTGTAAACCGACCCCAGTAATAGGATTCTCATTAGTTTTGCCTATTTGATCATTATGTTTGGTGATATTGATTAGTTTTGCAGATGATTTATCAGATTTACGATGTGTTAAATCAATGTTTGATGTTTGTTCACATTTTAATAATTGAATGCACTTGAAACATAACACAATAACTAGGAAGTAATAATTATCAATAACTTTATTTTCCTTCATTTCGTTTTGCTTTCTTCTGGATTAGGAGGAGTACAGATGACAATTCACTGATAAACTGAAAAAAAAATTGGTGTAGAAAAAAACTGTGTAAATCAACTGACTTCTTCTCATTTAATATATAAATCAATGTTTTTAGGCAAAAAAAATGGTTATGAGTCATTATTGGTTTGGATAGGATGTTAATGGCGAAACAGACATCAGTCCGTTCTTTAGTAAGTAAATTCACTTAAAAAAAACACAGATTGAAGTACAATTGAATTTGATTTCTGACAATTTATGTCAGTGAATTGGAAATAATAGTTTGTATTTGATTTTATTAGAATTAACATTAACTTTTAAAATATTAAGTATACACCTGAAATCGAGTCTGGCTGTAAATTAATATCACAAGACGTATTGATGACTAGAATATTTTAGCCTTAAGTTTATGTCATTAGTAATGTTTTACCGTGATATTTTTGAGAATTTAGTTTCATATTTCTATATATCACTGGTGTTGATCAAAGTCCTAAGTTATAAGAATTTACGTGCAGCCTAGTTGTGTTAATTTATCAGGAAAATATTTGTTTTCAGTCTATTTAACAATGAGAGGATGAACAATAAACTTCTCTGTCATATTTTGAATAATATCACTAAGGTCGGAAGATAACTGATTAGTTTAAATCACTAACTAATATATGATATGGATTGAACCAAACTAGAGCGTATTCACAACCTGTTACATTATTAAAATTAATTAGTCAGTAGCAGCTTGTTACCTATATTGAAATAATGAATGAGCTATTCTGATTCACGATTTGTTTAACAAAAATGATGATGACCAATACACGCAATTATTTTGGAAAACGCTAACCTACACTGTCAAACGTTTGTTTAGTTTCGGGCGAAGTGAATATCAGGTTTCATTAAACAAGCAAATGTGGAGAATGAACTCAAGCAACCAAACTAATAACTTGTTTTTTTTAGAATAAGGTCAAATAGCCCTTTCATATTGTTCAGCTTTCCTTCATATTAATTAAAATAATTACAGGGAGTACAAACGAGGATAAAGCTAGGGTTAGTATTAAATTGTTGAAGACACATAAAGTAAATGTATAGTTGTAAAAAGCACAAAACACTTTTAGAATAGATGAAATTTATTTTGAAAATTCCCATGTGTTTTTTTTTTTAACTGTAGACATTCAGGTGACAAATGAAAAAGTAAGCTGGTATCAAAAGTGTAATTCATCAGGGAAAGTAATGAATCACTAGAAGTTTTGTTTAAAGAAACTGGAAGTGATAACGATTTGAGTATTCTTGTTATATATGTACTGTGTTCTTGATGAATAAATAAGTACCAATAATTTAAGTAAATAGTGTCAAAACTATTAAACTTATAGATCATAACTTCACTAAATGTTTGTCATAGAAATTCGTTCGGACAGCTTAATTAAACTTCTAGATAGCTTTTAAAATTGACTAGCATCAAGTAAAAGATATTGTGGTCGTCAAAAAACAAGTATGTTCATTTTATTTTATGTTGTAGTGTTCACCAACAGACTTAATTTTTAAAATTTTAAAGTTGACACCTGAACGATAATTAATTCAATAGTGAATTAGAAATTTGGTATTTAGCTCCTATTTAAATGCAAAACGTTTCCATGTATGAAAATTGTCAAGAACTTATATGTTGAACTAATCTGATGTCAGTGAATAAAAATAAAGAGAATTCAGGGATGTGCACCTATAAATTTACTCGCTCCTGTAGGATAGGTTACATTGGTCGCACCAGGCGATCACTCACCAATCGCATCTCAGAACTTTACCCGGCTTTGTTTTTAAAAGGGAAGTGCAAAACTATCACTAGCTCCATACAGGAGAATCTGATTAACTCTGGATACGTTGCATCTAAGGTGTTCTTCCTTAAAGTAATGTATACTGTCGAAACAATCGGATCAAAATTTTATGTACTGCTAATGTCATGGCAGGTCTGAAATCCGCGTACAAAAACCCATCATCCTTCTCTGTCCTTAATCCTCTTCTCCAGTATGTTTTTTGTTTAGTTTTATTTTTATGATTATTTGTATAGTTAAGCTGTGATCGGTTATTATCCTCTGTCAATTTTCATGATGATAATTCACTTGTTATTACAAACTTGCGTTTCTCATCTTCTGCATGGACTATTTATCTTCCAGATTTCTGGCCATTAAATTATTCCCATCTCTCTATTCTTCTCTCTTTTGATATTTGCAATCTCCGATGCCTTTACGATTCATTATCTCCTATAGCTCTATCAAATTATACAGTTATCAAACAAATATCAATAAGCATGCACAGCTAGAGTAAATGATTTTGTCAAAAACATAAATTTGAATGATAATTAATATATCTTCAAGAAATTAATCTTTCACAAAACTTAATCTGTCGACTGAGATTAACTTACACAATTAATGATAGTAATAAAAAACAAGGGATTAGTCTAAAACATAGGGTAAATTTAGAACAGTATTAACTACTTGAGAAATAAACATATTTCAACCTTTTTTCCACAGTAGAAACAAAGTAGATTTGATGATGTAGTGATTCATGTTGTATCCTCAAAATTAATTTTAAAAAAATAATCATTTGATCAGTCACAATGAAAAAGATAACGAGTTGATGATCACTTTAATAACGGTTTTAAATGTTTAAGGATTAATATTAGTTTTTAATTACTAGTGACTGATCACTGTCATAATTGCAACTCAGCGTATTGAAACAATATCATTTTTTAAGGTAAATTAGTACACAGACTTCGAGTTTAACGTTTCAAGACAGCTCTCATTTATGACAAGAATAGTAAGGTGTTACATTGTATCTCAGACATAAAAATTGTCATCTAAGATTCTTGATATGCAGAGCATCATGGTGCCCATATGGCATATTCATACTCTAGAAACATATTTAACTGTTTAATTCTACCACTGAAATTGATAATGCACATTCTTTTATATAGATAAATGGTTTTGTGTAAAAATACTTTAACTACCTTAATGTACGGTTGACTGAGAACTACTGCTTTTGGAAGTATCAGTGGCAGTTATTTTGCTTTCTAACCATTATCGTGTTTATCTAACATTAGGTGTAATATGGCTGTAAGTATAAGTAGTTCAAAATCATAGATACTAACAGATACTGTTGAAACTGATTTTTTATTGATAAGAAATGTCTTTCTGAAGATCTCTGAATAGTACAAGACTTAAATCAACAACTTCTTACTAATGGCTTTCAAACATCTGGCCCCAAAAATTCTTAGACTCTCATTATAATTTGACATTCAATTTTGAAATCGCAATTAAAACAAAAATCAAATTTCATTTGCAGGTTAAAAATCTTGATACGTTTACCATACGTTTGAATTTATTAGTACACATCAACGTATACGTAAATAAACTTTGTGATTTTGATCCATTTAACATGAAAATGAAATGGAATTAATTTGAATAGATGGCCATAATATAAGTTATCAAATAAAATACATACTATAACCATTTGAGAAACAGCATATACCACACGCATGAAAACAATAATTGAAAATGATTAATAGCTTAATGTAAAACAGACAACACAAGAATACAATTTCATTATTTTTGTATTTAAAACCAAATGGCTTTTGTCTAGAATATATATATATATATATATATATATATATATATATATATATATATATATATATAGCTGTATTATGTTATCATATACGACATAAATCATATCAAGATAATATACTTGACAATTATCAGACTATTGACCATCATGAACATTAAACATATCGTTTCACAAGTATTAACAACCTACCCTTATGTATGAAATGAGATTAGATTAATAAATCACAACTATTTTGATACATATTTAGTCACTTAGTAGATGACATCATGCATTAGACAACGTTTTTAGAATTATTTATTGAAAAGTAGCTAAGAGCTAAATTATTTACTTGTTATATACAATCCAGTGTATGAATAAATCATTTGAAAATAAACTAAACGATGATAATGACTCAAACGAAAAAGAGAAAGGATTTCTACAATGAACAAAATTATATGGTTAGATTTTTTGTATGAAAATGTCACAACTGGCATTTTACCATTTAGATACAGTTTTTTTTTCAGTTACCAAACAAAAAACCTTTTATTGTCTTGTGCGAAGACATTGATGACTTGGTAATACACGTTTGTAATTACTGGATCAGCTGAAAATAACTGTTGGTCAGTTAGACTGTTTGAAAACTCACAACGTTAACTCATAATTTGTCTCGTTAAGCGGTATGTTCATTACCAATATATTGTTTTCAGCTTTCTATACTCTTAAAAAACCTTCGTAACCGCATAAACAGTTTTTATTTTCTTTAGTTAAGCTAATATTGGAGTTGGATTATCTTCATCATCCTTCCGACTTGACATTATTTTAGATTCAGGGATTAACAGTCTAGGAAGCCAAAACATTGGCAAGAAAGTTATCATCGCAAATATTCGGTGTACTAGATTTGTCAAATCTAAATACTATAATCCCGTGGATACTTTATTGATGATCTGAATATAAGCTAATCTCACCTGCTTTAATCTCGATAGTTTTTATACAAAAATGTCAAATTGTCTTAAATGTTTTGGAGGGCATCCATAACCAACTTTAAACACTCCATTTATTGATGACATCTATGGTATTTGGACATTGAATTACTGGAATCATAACTTCCGAATTCCTTGTACTTTACATAACATTAGAACTTTCATGCTGTCCCAGTTGCTTATTTTGCTATGAAAAAGATAATCGCTCGAAAACATTCAAATTTCACTGAATAGGACCACTTATTTGTATGAAACGAATTTTTTCATAGGAAAAAAACATCATTTCTTATTGTCTAAAGTGACAATGACATCAAAAAATACAAACTTTGAAAGCGGTAAAGATTCTTTCCATCAATTTTACCTTGAATATTTTTGCTCTACTTATAATTATCAATATTTTAATTAGAATAGTATCTTCATACAATTAAATGCTTCTTTAGGTCTTTTTTTTAAATGCGAATAAAACATGGGT